TTTTTTTTCATTTTGAGTTTAATTTTTATTTTTCAATTTTGGGTCCAAAAGAGATTATTTAGCCTAAAAATTAAGAAAAACAACAATAATAAAATAAAAAATACACAATTCGTCCCATAAGCATAAAATTACACATTTCGTCCCAAAAATTAGGAAGAAGAGGTGGAAAAATTTGAAAATGAAAAAACAAAGGTGGGAAAAAGTGAAAAGTTATAGTGTCTTACAAAATTAAGTCAACAAAAGGCCAAAAAGTGAAAGTGAATGTATTGTATTTGTCGGTCATAGTGAATGACTGAATGTATACATATATTTATTATAATTTTTTAATATTTACCGGTTAGGTCTGGTTACATTGGTGGTTTGCCGCAAGTAATCTGTTAACTGGATCGATTATTCCGGATATTTAAAAAAATTAATCACCAAATTTTTTAATACTTTTTTAACTGACCATTTAATCGATCCGCGATCCGAATTAGCGATTTTTTTAGTTAAAACCTGAACACCCCTACTTTTCAAACAAATTAAAAATATAAAATGTTGTTAGATTCAATTACCTGTTCATACTGAAAGTGATGAATTGGTTCCAATCAGCCCCGATATCATTTTCACACCGAGTAGCAAATAACGGCACAAATTTTCCGCCATCGTACCCGATTCAGAAGTTCCACACATATCTTTTTTAGGGATCGCTCTACAATGAGGAGGGTCAGCTGTCTCGCCGCCGTACGCCGCGCCGTGGAGTGCGTCGCCGCCTCTCCTTCACTCGCCGCAAACCCCGTAGGCCGCGGCCGCGGCCCCATCTTCCAGGCGGCGGATTTCGGCACCGCCGCTTCCAACAGATCCTCCGCCAGATCTCATTGGTTGTTGTCCGGCAAAAGGATTGCCGCTGCCGGTACGGTGCTGTTCTCGGTAGCCGCTGCCGCGCTCGTCGGGGAGGTTGAGGCCAAGGAGTCCGTCCAGTTGAAATTCCGGCCGGACGAGGTGGTTCTCTATCAGTATGAAGCTTGCCCTTTCTGTAACAAGGTCAAAGGTACATTTTTTGATGACTATTTGGGACTATATTGTGTGTTCTTGGTGATTTGTTTATTTGAGTAGAATGTTAGTAGAATCAATTTTGTTCTGAATCTGTATTTTCGTTTTATGTTTTAGTCAATCATTTATTTTTTGGTAGCCATAATTTGATAAATGGAATCCTAAATGCTGCTATTGGACTCTGTTAATATTCAAAGTGGATCCTTGGTTTCTGATAGATAGAACTTGGGAAATGTTATGGTTAATATTCGATTCACTGAAAGGAGAAAGTTCAGTGAAACTTATTCACTTCATGCAAAAAAAAAAGGGCTTAAGAGTGAAAGCAATCAACGTGCCGGAATCGTGACTTTTGCTCCTTTCTCTTTTGCTCCATTCTCTTCCTTTTGGTTTGAGCCCTTTTTGTGTTTCTCATACCATTGTTTTTCTTGGGTTTCATCTCTAGCCTACCCCAACTTGCTTGGGACTAAAAGGCTTTGTTGTTGTTGTTTGTTGTTGTAAGAGTGAAAGCAGGAAGTGTTGCTCCTCACTAAGTTTTAATAGCAACTGATAAATTTGGCTCCAGCTCCAGCTCGGTCCAATACTAGTTGTACGTGGTTTTTTTTTTAATCAAGATCTAAAGTACGCAATTTAGTTGTTATACATAATACAATCCAAAACGTTGTAGATGTTCTTTAGATAAGTTATAGTTATGTAACAAATATGCCCGACCATCTGACACAGTAACAAATATGCCCGACCATCTGACACAATCCAAATGACTTGGAGGTGAAGGCTTCACTACCCGGACTTCGTCTCAACTCCATCAACCTCGCCAAAGCGGAAAAGCACTTCTTCCAACAAAAAGCGAAGTGCAAATTCCAAATCAAAGGAGACAAATATACCGGATTCTACCATGCCATTGTCAAGAGGAAGACCAAGAAGAATTTTATAGCCTCCATTGCTAAAGAGGACGGGAGTACGACAACAACACTTGAAGATGTGTCCGAGGAGTTCGTTAATCACTTCGAGAAGTTACTTGGCACAATGACCCCGACGGAGGACATTGACCCCGACATCATCCGGCATGGCCCGCTCATCTCCCAAGATCAACACCATGCCCTCCTAGCTCCGGTCTCCGAGAAAGAAATCAAAGACACTCTTAACGATATTGAAAGCGATAAGGCTCCCGGCCCGGACGGGTACACCTCTTTGTTTTTTCGAAAAAGTTGGGGCATTGTTGGGAAGGATCTCACATTGGCCGTACAAGAATTCTTTGCGAATGGGAGACTCCTTAAGCAATGGAACCATACTACTCTAGTTATGGTCCGCAAAGGCCCCCACGCAACCCAAGTCTCTGACTTCCGGCCGATTGCATGTTGCAATACAACCTACAAAGTGTGCTCGAAAATCATAGCCCAACGTGTTAGCTCCGTCCTTGGTTCAATCATTGATGGAGCGCAAGCCGCTTTTGTGAGGGGAAGGAACATGTCCGACAACATACACCTTATGCAAGAACTACTTCGAAAATACATGAGAAAAAGGATCTCCCCGAGGTGCACAATCAAGATAAACCTCCGTAAGGCATTCGACTCTATCTTATGGGCTTTCTTGAGGCAAGTCCTCCAAGGCCTTGAATTCCCGGAGATATTCATCAATTGAATTATGGAATGCGTCACCACTACCTCATACTCAATCTCAATCAACGGATCGCTATGTGGTCATTTCAAAGGCGCTAAGGGGTTGAGACAAGGAGACCCGCTCTCGCCTTACCTCTTTGTCATTTGCTTGGAGTACCTCTCAAGGCTCATGAACCGGAGCACGGCAAGTGGATCGGACTTCAAATATCACCCGCAATGTGAGTTACTCAAAATCACTCACCTTGCCTTTGCCGATGACTTAATGCTTCTCTCACGGGGCGACCCTCGTTCTATTCATATACTTTTGGATTGCTTGAGGAACTTTGGGGCTAAGTCGGGTTTGGAGATGAATGTCCAAAATCCAACATCTACATGGCGGGGGTTGGCCAAATGGAGCACTCGGAGATTCTTCGGGACACTAACCTTCGGCCGGGATCTATGCCATTCCGGTACCTTGGCATCCCACTCACGGCGGGAAGAGTCACAATTGGGCAATTTGATGCTCTCATTAATCAAATTTCGGAATATATCAATGGTTGGAATGCTTCCTCTCTCTCATATGCGGGTAGAGTCGAGCTCATTAGATCTATCCTCCAAGGGGTGGAATGCTTTTGAATGTCCATCTTCCCCCTTCCGTTGGCCGTACGTACCCTCATCATTCAACGTTGCCGACACTTCCTTTGGGGATCAAAGATGGCTCCGGTGGCGTGGCAAACCGTCACCCTCCCACGATCGGAGGGAGGATTAGGGCTCCGGGACCTTAAAGCGTGGAACCAAGCCTTGTTGGCCCGCACGCTATGGAATATACAAGCGAAGAAAGACACACTATGGTACCGATGGATACACAATGTCTACCTAAGGCAAAAGACTATTTGGGAATGGACCATCCACAAGAAGAATGACTCGCCTCTCTTTAAGAACCTTTACGATATTCGAAATCTAATGGTTGATAAGTTGGGAAGCACGCAAGCCGCCGAGGCCACACTTAGCTTATGGGACTCCAAATCTCAACAAAGGGGCCCTTAGGCGTATACGATTTTTTCCGAACCCAAGGCACGCCGGTCCCTTGGAAGGGAGTGGTTTGGGGGTCCGCCAATACCCCCAAACATACCTTCATCCTATGGCTTGCAACGCTTGGGAGGCTCCGAACCAAAGATAGACTTGGCTTCTTAGATATTGACCTTACATGTGCCTTATGTGGGGAAGCTTCCGAGACCAAAGACAATCTCTTTTTCACTTGCCCACTCTCGGCTCAAGTTTGGCTTGGCATCCGGAGTTGGCTCGGATTGAGAAGGCAACTCTCCACATTAAAAAGTGCTTTGAAGTGGATCAAGAAGGAATTTCAAGGCTCCGGTTGGAGATCGAAAGCAACAAAGGCCGGGTTAGCATCGACGATCTACTTCCTTTGGAATGCACGGAATAGGAAGATCTTTGAAAATGAGGTACAATCCCCGGAACTCATTATTCGGAAAATTCAAAATCATATTTATAGAAATATATTTGCTTTGTATCCGAATGTTCTTGCCGACATGGAGAGAAAAGGGCTTGGAAACGGATTGGCTTAGCCTCTCTAAATATCCCTTGGCTCGTTTAGGTTTGAGTTGAGCAACCGGAGTGTGTTTTGTCTCTTTTATTTTATTTCGAATAGCAAGTGAGGGGCCGGTCCGTGGTCGCCCACTTTCGCTTTTGTATGCCGAGAAACGGGCGAATGTAAATTCATTTTGATCTATAAAATTTAATTTAACGATAAAAGAAAAAATAAAGAAATGAAGTCTCTGTGCTAGAGCAACTGAAAACTAACCTAAAAAATTGTCAGAAGAAAGATTTTGTCTCACAAACAAAGATCAGATATGCCTACTTCATAAGGTTTCAGATTATGGGTGCAATTTTGTAAGTTCACAATGTTGGACATGTGTTTTAGCACATTGCAGCCTCAGTAGATGGAGAGAATAGCCCAACTATTTGTTTTTCTATGACACTTAATTTATAGAATCATTGCTTATTCCTTTCATATGTAAATTGTATTGCCAAAAAATATTTGTAGCTCTACCTTGTACTTATGGGTTTTCTTTTTCTAGCATTTCTGGACTACTATGATATTGCATACAAGGTTGTGGAGGTCAACCCGATCAGCAAAAATGAAATTAAGTGGTCTGATTATAAAAAAGTGCCAATATTGATGGTTGATGGCGAGCAGCTGGTTGATTCATCTGGTATTAACTGTTAATGGTTATTATTCAGAGTTCGGCAATAAACCAAATGACTTATTATAGAAACCTAAATATTTTGTAATTAATTATGGCATGCATTTTTATTAGAGTGACTCTTTATGTAGATATAATTAATAGGTTGTCAAGAAAGATTCATCAAGATGAGGCTATTGATTATGATGGCGAAGAGAAAACGTGGAGGAGGTATAGATTATCTGATGTAATTGGACTTTATACTTGTTTATTGACTCTGTCTGAAGCACACTTTTTTCATGTTACACATTATACATCTTCTCTTTTCAATTGATGGATATCATCTTTGCTATGAGCATTTGGCAATATTTGCAATGTCCTCTGATGACCGGTTACTCAAATATTGCAGCTGGGTGGACAATCACTTGGTTCACCTGTTATCACCTAATATATATCGAAATTCTTCAGAAGCCCTTGAGTCATTCGATTACATCACTAGTCATGGTAAGACCAATGTACTATCTTTTGTAACTTTTTTGTGCATTACTTTAACATGGCAATTGCATTTTTATGGCTGCACTCTTGTAATTAGGGATGGGACTCGGAGCATTCCGAACCATTTTGAAAACCGAAATTACTTCGAACTGAAAAATAACCGTTGATCATTTGACTTTCTCCAAACTGAAAAAAGTAATTGGTACACCTTTGAAGATTTCACAAATATCGTGTCGAGGACCGAACCGTACCAAACCGAAGAACCGAATTATAAAATTAGATGCGCCTTGTTCATAAATTCGTGTCAACTTTAATCCTGTATAATTTGAGTATTTTTAAAATACTTAATAATATATAATAGTAATACTTGAACTCCACTTGGAATTTTATACTTAATAATAATTGACCTACAAGTAATATTAAAAAAAAATATATTGCATATATGGATGCTTTTCTTAGTCTTATTCTATCTTATACTCAAATCGGCTTGAAAAATTAGAGATTTTTTTTTTTTAAATTATATAATATTTTTTTTTTGGATTTCCAATTTCCATCATTAATTGCAAAAATCTAGTCTTAACAAAGATTTTGAGTTATTTTTATTTTTTAAAATAATTTAAGAAAACTCTTTAATGTGGTTAAATATTTATTAATGTTAGATTTAATAAAAACATATAAAATCTTAAATATATCTAGTCATTCAAATATTTTTGAAAAATAATTTGAAATCTCTGTAGCTCCGAATTGAACCGTACTGATATGAACCATTCCGATAATCCCGAATCCTGAACCAAACTGAAAAATAAAAATCTCCGAACCGAACCATCCTGATTTTTGGTACGGTTTTGGAGATTGAATTTTAGTGATTATTTAATTTCGGGGTACGAAACACAAGTGCCTGTACAAGTATATGCAATAGGATACTAAGTGAATATTCATTCTTTAATTACTCCAGTCATTTCTCATTCCAAGGTGAAACTGGAGATTGTTTTGCAGTCTAATATTTTTGCTGAGATTTTAGGAACTGGGATATCTTGTCCCAAGCTACCTGGCGAGTATTTCCAGTTGATGAAATGTTTTAGTGAAGTGAGCCATATAGGCAAATGATTTTCTGCATTTTTTTTAAGGAAAACCATATAGTGAACTCTGGTTTTTTGTTCACAGGCAACTTCAGCTTTACTGAGAAAATAACAGCCAAATACGCAGGAGCAGCTGCAATGTATTTCGTCTCCAAGAAATTGAAGAAAAAGTATAACATCACAGACGAACGGGCTGCATTATATGAAGCTGCTGAGAAGTGGGTGGAAGCTCTCAACGGTCGAGATTTCCTAGGTGGACATGCACTTTTATTTTTATCATCCGATATATATATTAAAAACATTTTGTCGATATGTATAATCCATTTTTCTTTTTGTCTATTTCACCAGGTGGAACGAAGCCCAACTTAGCTGACCTTGCGGTTTTTGGTGTTTTAAGACCCATACGCTACCTCAAGTCCGGTAGAGACATGGTAGAACAGACGAGAATCGGTGATTGGTACTCCCGAATGGAAACTGCTGTTGGACCATCTTCGAGAATCCGAGCATGAACTCATCAAGCATACAGGTAGATTAGATTGAAGTAGTATATGACCAATGATATAATTTGATTCTTTTGGTAATTTGGTGGCAAAAGTTTATACTTTGAGATTGTTGAGCACAGAAAAAAGGTGCGACTCAGATCGGGATTTTTTTTTTTTGAGAAAACTTTACATACACGCTCGTTTGAATGGAGCTCCTCCAAGCTACATCAAAAGGCGGGTGTATCTTGACACGAGCATGCAAACAAAGCTCCTCGTCGTGTAGGATTGTTTTTTCTTGGATTTAAAGAAAAAAATTGAGGCATTTTGTTTTTACCCTTCTCTCTCTTTTTCAATTTTGTGTTGAAATTTTGGTACATGATGTTATTCAATTATCTGGCATTTGCACATCTTAATATGAATGATAGTACCATCCCAAGCACCGTGACTTTTTTTTCGTCATATTTTTTCTTATCATGTCCATCTACATTTATTGAACGTATTTTTTTTCCCATAAAATTCTCTTGTGATGACGAAACAAAGCCGAATAATCTCAGTGGAGTACGTTTTTCCTCAATTTGTTTTTGCGAGTAGCTGTTTGACTTGAGATGTTATATGAAAGGATAAATTCACGGACACAAGAGTTGTTTTGTTGGTGTAACTTCACCTTTTTTGCATTTACGTTGAA